GCTGAGCTAAATCCCCAGCCCCAACATACAATTCTTTTAAAACTTTGCTCTGATTATAATTATACAAAGAACAAAAAATGTCCATAATTGTACAAAATTAAATTTTAATAAGAATTCACTGGCAATTGCAATAACTATTAACAAAAGATAATATACAGATCATGAAAGTTTGTCTGTAAATTAATAAAGTCTTACAAAAAGCAATTAATAAGTACTCCATTATTTATTTAAATATTTAAATCCCCTACCCTTGAATTATAGAACAAGAAAAAGATAGTGAATGATCTTAAAAATATTCAGTTCTGAAATTTTGAAATAGATGTTGTAATCTAAACTTTTAAAGCTAATTTTTCATTCATTTAATTTTTTGTATTTAGATATACATGGGCTTATCTGTGTGCATGTATATTTTATATATATATGTAATAAGCTTTAATTTACATAGAATTAAAATGCTTATGACCATTTCCAAGGACTTCTACTAATTTATCACATATCTACTTGACTTTCACTAAGTAAAAGACTTATCTTGCCATTTTGAATTTCTCCAAAGGATGGCTATATTGCTTTTTTAGAGCTGAAAGCAAACTGTCACAAATTTAGTGCCTTAGAACAAGCACTTTATTTTCTCACAGCTCTAGAAACCAGACTTCCAAACGCAGAGCCAGCAGGACCAGGCTCCCCCGGGAAGCTGCAGAGAAGCCTCCTTCCTTGTCTTTTCCAGGGTCTGGTGGTCCCCAGCATGCTTTGGGTTTGTGGCAACGTGTGGTTAATCTCCACTGTCATCTTTACATGATGATCTTCTCCACAGTTTCTGTTTTTCTAAGCAAAGTTCTCTCTTCTAAGAACAGCAGTCATTCGATTTGGGCTTACCCTAATCCAGCATGAGCACAACTTGATTATATGTGCCGAAGCCCCATTTCCAAACACACTCTGAGTTTCTAAGTGGACATGAATTTGGAAGGTGCTACTCAATCCAGTACAGAAAGACATGATGGTCAGTCATTTCTTTTAGCATTAACCTATATTGTCATAGTGAATTTATAGAACTTCTAAAAACAAAGAACCCTGTAGGAGGCGGCTAGGTGGGATAGTAAAAACAGCAACAAATATCACCAGCTTTCTCTCATTGTAGAAGAGGAAGGCAGGTGAACCATTATTTTGTTTTGGTTTAGAAACGATTTGTGTCCAGCCAGAAAATTTACAAAGCATCTCTGTCTTTCCATTTATTTGAAAAATGAGTGTCCCATCAGCCTAGACTCTGGAATGAGGTGATGTTTAGGAATTCCCAGCTAATTCATATGTAACAGGAAACGTTTGTTGCTTGAGATATGAGAATTGTTGGTATTCATAGAATTCATTCTCTTTGGCAGGGATAGGAAAATGACTCTAAGGGCAAAGAAAATCTTCCCCTATTTGCATATTACGAATATATACATATAGCAATAAGCATGTAAATGGTTTGTCTGCATGGAATTCCTTGGAGAAGTGATTAGAAAATAAAGGTCTAAAAGTATTCCTGTCTTAATCTGTTCAGATGGCTTGTATAAAAACAACATGGAAGTCTTATAAACAACAGAAATTTATTTCTCACAGTTTTTGTGGCTGAAAAGTCTTTTCAAAATCCTGGCAGGCCAGTATCATAGGGGATGCCTGTAATCCCTGTGAAGTCCGGAATGCTGAAACAAGAAGACAAAAGGATTCCAAATTCAAGCTCAGCCTGGACAATGCAGTGAGTTAGCCAGATCCTGTCTCAAAATAAATAATATAAAAGGGTTGGGAGGGTAACTCAGTGTAAGGCTCTGTGTTCAATCTCTAGTCCCCCCCCTCAAAAAAATGCTGGGCAAACTGAGTATGTAGGGAGGGCTTGGGCTGGTTCTTACCGTGTTACCAAGTGGTGGATGTGACTACCTGTGTCTATGGGCTCCCCATCATTAGGAGTCTATCTCTGTGACCCAACCACTTACCAAAGGCTTCATCCAATATCATCACCGAGAATTATTACTTGAACATGTGAATTCCTAGGAAATACAGTCAGAGCATGTCAGTTCCCTAGGGAAGTGATAATGAAATTTAATGTTAAGAAACATTGCTGTAAAATAATACCGCCTATGCTTTGCGATGACACAGGCTCTGATGATTATGAGTCTCAGCCATAAACATTCTTGGTTTCCTCATCAATTTGAGTTTGTACTTCTCTAGATTAGAGAGCTAGTAATGCTATCATGCTTATATGTTTTGTGATAAATATATACGATTTTCAACATATTACTATGGTTTCTTACCCCCAAGACACAATGCCTGATACCCACAGTTTAAAGGAGAAAAGGCTTAAACTGTCTGGTGGTTAGCATTCCCAAGGAAGACACACAATGGCAGGAGGATGTGGCAAGGCATAGATGCCATAGATGCCTTGCCACAGGGTGCTCATGGCAGTGGGAAGTGGATCAGAGGAAGAGAGCCAGAGAAGAAGGAGCCAGGGCCCTTGTATTCAATGGTACCCAAGATCCTGTCCCAGAAGATGCTTTACTAATCCCCTCAGCAGGTCCAGGCCAATCAAAGAAGCTTAACTACCACAGTCACTATGAAAGGCATATGGCAGCGTTAGAGTAATTGTTTCTAAAATTAGGTATCATAATTTAATTATTATCACATTAACCATAGCTTAATATTCTGTGAAGAAACACATTACACCATTTCTAACTAAATTTTAGACAGTATTCAAAGTTACTGATTATATTTGTCAGGACAGGTTAAGAGCTGAAAGAAAGAATGTTAGCACTTCAATAATTGAACATGTTACAGTGCATTTATCGTACAACTCAGAGTCCAAAGCATTTAAGAGACTGAGATAGTCTGCATGTCCATTCTGAGAATCATTTATTCCATCTGGGATTCAGATTTCCTACAGGATTTGACCATTTAATGAATGAGTGAGCAGAGTAATTAGGAGGAGGGTACGGGAGGAATCTCAGAGCCAAAGATGGAATTGTTTGCCTTTTGTTGATTGGTCAGAACTCAATCACATGGTCCAAATTAACTACAAAGGAGGCTGACAAAATGTGCTAACTTCTATGTAGAAGAAGAAAATGACTCTGTTAAGATCCATCAGTATGGATATTCATTAGATTACTCCAGCAACCCTAAGCATTGGAAACCAATTAAAATGTACACTGCCACTTCTTTTGATGCAACACAAAACTGCCATTGTAAACTTTATTATCTTTGTTTTATAGAAGAAGCAATTTTTAAGATCATATTTCAAACAGCAGAACAAAGATCAGAATGCAGATCTGCCTTCCCAACCTGATCCCAGAGCTCTAGCTCGCAGCCAGTATGCTCCCTTTTTCCTATTCAGGAGCCGATTTATTATCCCTCCTCTTTGCAGAGATAATGGAATGGAAATTCTGCTTCAAAGTTAGATTAGAGAAAACGAAAACTTTCCTCATGAGTAGTAAATAGCCCACTTAGGAATATTGTGAAATCTCATCTGGAAAACTTTAAAATAGGTTTTTATCCCTTTTTGATAGTTTAAAGATTATTCAGAATAAAGGCTAAAAAGTAGACGACCAGAACATCTATAAAAGTTCCACCAGCTTTGTTACCTAATGTCTTTTCAATGTGTCTGCCTGGTGTGGAGCAGAGACAAGAGAAACAAAATTGTAGGTAAGTAACAACCTGGATTTGGGCCAGCTGTAGAGACAAACTAAAACCTGAAATGACAAAAAAGAAAAAGAAAAACCCCTAGTGCTCATGATGCTATAGAATTTTCATTGACCCTGTCTATATCAATTATACTTCAAACACTAATTGTAGCAGATTACTGAAGAAAAATATCTTAGTGAGTACCTGTAGAAAAATGAGAAGTTAAAGGATGAAGATCTGGGGAATGATTCTCGCATTGTTAAAAACCACGGACATTTATACATGCCATGTATGTATATGTTTAATTAGACACATTGTAAGTATATTCAAAGTTTATATAAGGAACTAGTCACTGAAATTTTAAAAATTAAAAAATTCCAGTAATATAGAGGCTTCTATAATTTGTATGCAAGTGACAAAATCTGCACTAGCACTTTGCAATTTTATGTATTTGGTCTTTAATTCCCTTTATATTCATATTAGCGTATAATGGAAAAGCTAAATTTATTTGGAGAACAAAACAATTCACCGCCGCACTTCTTTCTGCAATGTGAAAGTTTAATCAGGAGAAACTGTCTCAGAGAGATGGAGAGAAATTTCCATCAAAGTGAAAGACTTTACTATGAGGTATCTTGTATGTCTTACTATGGTGTCACTTTGGGTTTATCTATAAATTTGGGCCACAGAATGTTTTTCCATTTATTTTATTTTATCACTTAAGACAACGTATATGTATATACATATCCAACTTTTCAAAAGATTATATCACCTAGATTTCAGGCTATCTAAGAACTAGAAACCTAGTATTTGTAAAATGAAGTTAAGGTATTCCATAGGCAGTCAGAATTTATTTTACCAGGCAGAAAGAAGGTATTTTGCATATTGGAAGAGAATCAGAATCTGCTCCCAAACAGATTAGTTCTTATATGACAGGACCATAGAAAGTTCAATTGGATTACATGTGTCCCTGGATTAATTCCATTGTATTATTGTAAGGGAGAATAAGAAACTTGTTCTTAATTTAAAGAATTGAGTATGCAATATATCTAAAGGGCAATTTAGTGAGTAAACAGTTGTCAGAATCTGAGGCCTATAGGTATGATTGTTCTTTCCCCAAGTCTTTGACAATATCTTCTTTTTTTTAATTTCAAAGAGAAAAAAAAAATAACAAAATGACAACAAAGACAAAAACAATAAAAATGACACAGAGTTTCAAAATAAGATGATAGGAAATTATCAATGGTTGATATATTAATAACTATGAAAAGTATTTTGGTCATAAAGTAAATTTTTCTATTAGGATTATAGTTATTTGTTGTTAAAATTCAATTATGCAAAGTTGAGATTGAGCAGATGGACATGGACTAGTTTGGCAAAGAATCAAAGGGATTTTCTTGGTTTTAGGATAGTGTGGTATAAAAATACAAAGAAGCGTACTATTTTACATCTATTAAGTTAGGGTAAAATAAGAACTGGAGATCTTTAAAAAGAAATCATAAAACAAAAGGTAAGAAAAAACAAATCCCTGATCACAAATCATCTTATCCTGTCATGGCTAGTGACTTAAATTATATGTAAAATTTTGCAAGGTAGACAGTTTTGCTTACTTTATAAAGTCGTTAGTCTTATCTATATCAGAGGTTATCAAATTTGTTTCTAAAAAACTACTCGTTCTTTTTGAACAAGCAAGTGGTTAGGTTTTGTAGTTTAATAAGATATGTGTTTGCGTGTTTTGTGATGGGCAGCTAAGTATTGACATTACGAAGAAAAGTAAAACAACATAATATTGATGACTTCTGAACACTCTTATGCAGTATGAAAGATTATTTCAAATTTTATTTATTCTTTATTTCAAATTTTAAGGTATAGACATTTAAAGAAAATATAACTCAATGTTATATACAACTTACTGTAATATTTATTCAAAAACTGCTCATTAAACTTCTCAGTTAACATAGAAAATGATGTTTCAAGTTGATTTGCATTCTAAAAAGAAAATAATCTTTCTTGACAATATCTGGCAAATATTTGGCAAGAAAAACACATGGCTTTTAAAGGAAACATTAATATATGTTAATTTAAATCTTAAATTCTAAATAGATAATTTTAATAACTATGTATGCACCAAAATACCTTTGTAAATAGATACATAGACCCTTTTCTACATATAAAAACATATTAGTGATTACTTAAAAATGAATTGTTTGAAATCAGATATATTTCAGAAAAATGATATTGACTTTACTTTCTTTCCCTCAAATCATTTTCAGAAAAGGTGGACTGTAATAAAAAATAATGTAGGAACAAATGAGTCAAAACTCTCAGGTTTTTTGATCCCTCACTTATTGTAATTGTCTTCTTCCTTTTGTAACTAATAACTAACACATTTTACTTAAATGTGACTTTCTGTATTCTATGTAAGACAATATCATATAGAAACATTTAAACTGAAAAGGTAACAAAGGGGGATATTCTGCCTTGAAAAAATTTTTCAGTTTTGAAAATATAATCATATAGTTCTATGTTTTAGTGCACCAAACTAAAGGGTTTTCTTAAAACTAAAGGTTGCTTAAACTGATCAATGAAAGCAATTTCTCAAAGTGTTACAACATGTCTGCAGTGTAGACACCTTAAGGCAATCCAGCAAGCACAGTGCAAACGAGGAATGTAAATTTTATAGTCCCTTCTGACTTTACAGAAAGATTGTACTTTTTATTAACATCGGTCAAATACATACAGTTTTCTCATCTGTACAGTGGGAATAAAATGAACCACATGAGGTTTTTACAGGAATTTAGTAACATAATTAATTTTTGAAAACTAGAACAATTTCTGAAACCTCTTATGTGCTCACTGCCTGCTAGTACATACTAAAATTATTATTATGGGTTACCCCTTTCATTGTTCCATATATACAGCCTTGCAATCATGACAAGAGCTTGTTGGAAAGGGTAAAAATCTGGACTGAGGTTTCTCCAGTTTATATCACATCACTGAGGAATCTGGTGTGGAACAGAAATATGCAATATTTTATATCCTACATTGTACAGATTGCTTTTGTGTTGTTATGTCATAGATCTCCAGAATGGCCAAATCAGAAATTCAGTCACTAAGAAGGTCGTTTGATCGCCTTCCTCAAATTAGGGTTAATTAATAGGCTCTTACATACAATTGTCTTTAGATGTATTAAAATATAGGAGCTGGGTATTTAGCTCAGTGGCACAGCGCCTACCTGGCAAGCGCAGGGTGGCAAGTTCGATTCCCCGTACCGGAGAAAAACCAAAAAAAAAAAAAAAAAAAAAAATTGTATATCTATGTATATTTCGAGGTCATCATACCACCATTCCAAGTTTTACATAAAAGATGCTGCGATTTCCTGGACATTTCTCTATTCAGCTGCTTGTTTAGAAAAGTAAAAAATTCATAGTTGCAAGGAAATTGAAATCAAATCCCTATATGCTTTTCCATATGTGAAAACCTCTAAATTGCTGATACTAGGGTGACGAGAATTCACTGTTCTAAGCCATTTTTGGCTTTTTCTTAATGAAAAATTAAAAATAATGTTTTTAGCTAACACATTGGTAAAGTTCAATTTCTAACCTCTAGGAACTTCAGATTTTAAAGACTTTCCTTTTTAAAAAGACATAACAAAGAAAAAAATCTATTTCTTATATAGATTTAGTGCTCACTGAAATTATGTGAAGTCTTATTGAAATCTACACATTTCTCCCGTACAACTGTTACCAAGTCTTTAATAAGTGGATATCTTTGTTCCTCTGGACTTAATGCCTATATTTTTTTTCTGACTGAGGACTCTTTACTGCCGCTCTTTTAGAATGGGAATTTTGGCCACATTCCTAAACTATCTTTTAGGATGAGATTCTAAAAATCATTTTCTTTAGTCACATTTTATAGCAATGAGATACTGACAATTCTTTTTAAAAATCATTTACGAATTTGTCTTCAAGTGAAACAAGAAACATGACCTACAGAACTCCCTTGTCCCAGACACTGTCCCATAGTTTAGTGAGTGTGTAGGAAAAAATAAGCCACCCACGCGAAATCCCTGGCTTGTTCTGTTACTTTTAGTAATCATGAAAAACGCAAAGTAAAGATGCTTGGCCAAAGGTGCCCCTGAATGTAACTAAATAAATTTCCCTTAAATAAAACTCTTCTCTGTATGAGCTCTGTTGTCATACTCCCTGTATAGATAACTTTCTGAGAGATGAAAAGTAACATTTTCTTAGAGGACTATGGCCATCGGTGATGGATCTCCTCCAACTTATCTCTCCTGCTTTCCACACATATTCTTTCTGTCTCTAAGTGATTTTATAGGTTGCTAAGGTACTATCGGTGAGTCTCCAGTATAAAACACAATCTATCTTTCGCCTGATAATTAAAGAACCATAAGACAACTCCAGTGGAAAAATATTCTCATTTCCCTTTCCAAGAGCCATCTTAAAATTAAAAATCTTAAAAGGTTATATGATTTTTAACTCCTGAACTATTTTATTAGGGAGATCCTATAATCTGGAAATTTTTTTATTATGCCTAAATAAAGAAATATGGCCGAGAGAAGGCACAGGGGTATATCATTTGCAGGACTGGGGGTAACTTTGTAATCCTCAACTTTAAGCCTATTCCAAATGTTTAAAGTGAAATAATTATCAGTCACTCCCCACTGTGCCAGACAGACAGAAGCAATATCTATTCCCCCAAATTTTTGGATTTTTGTAGACCACAGTGTTATCTAATTTAGAATTTGTAGTTCTGGGGACTGGTGTGAGGAAGGGAATGGTGAGCTTGTTTCTTCTTACTGGGTTAGTCTTTCCCCATCTGGTGCTAATTCAGAATCGTTACTGTGAAAATTCAAGTGATTTAACTCTGGTCTACTAAAGTACTTTTTTCTTTATAACTAAATACTGTAGATCAAAAGTGTGCTGAAATTACTCTGAAATGCTCCATGAGAAAAACGGCTTGTTTTATTCTCTTGCAAGAGTATTTCATTACAACTTTCAAGCGTCCTGGGACGTCGTAAGAATCCTCGTAATCGCTTGAATGTGAACGTCCCTGACCATTTTTAAAAACACGCCGTAGCATACCCATAATGGGCAAGGGAGAATTAAGTTTAAACGGTAGCACCAAAGTGTATCTATCCAAACAAAAGGCTCTACCTCACACGTCCTCAAATAGAAAGACTCTTTCCTAATATTTTCCAGTAGGGGGAACTAAAGACTCACTCTCCGACGTCTGCGGCTCAGGGACCCGCGAGAGCTCCCGCAGCCGCCCCTAATCACCCAAACGAGCATCAAACGGCCACCAGCGAGCCTGTGATCACACGTGGGCCCGGCCACGCCAGGGCACCGCGGACACTGGCATCCCTTTGATTCGACGTGATTTCCTTAATCATCCCCGCCCTGAATGACATTCATTCGGTAGCGTTTGCCTTAATTTTGGTGGTTTTATTCTCTTTGGGCTGATTTTTTTTTTCTTTCGGCTTGTGTTAGCTCAGTGAGGTGGCCACCTTTCCTCAATCAGAGCCTGTGTTTTTCTGACTTTCCTTTCGAGGGTACCAGTCTAGGAAGGGTAAGGGTCCTGGAATTCCCCACCCCTCGATCTCCCCGTGGCCTCTAGGCTCTTTGATCCCCACTCCTCCTCGTAAGTGTCCTCTGCTGAACTCTCTGGCACCCCACGACCCGCAGCAAAGTCCCCTCGGAGAGGTCTCAAGGCGACTAAGAGAGGAGATGCCGCCCCTTCCTCTCCTCCCGGGGGATTCCGTCCCCAGCCCTAAGAGCCAGGCTAACCAGGACGCGGGGGCGGTTGGAGACGCCCCGCCCTCCTCCGGGGTTTTCCTTTTCTTTCTTCCCTCCCCATATAGGAAGTAGCCACACACCCCCTTCCCCAGCCGAGAGGTGCTTATGTTTCCTCTCGGTCCGGTTCTCCTTCCAGCTCAGCCGCTTCGGCTAAAGGGCGGAGAGTGAGCGAGTGTGTGATTTTAACGGGTCACGAGGCTGCGCCCCGGGTGCTCGGGGCAGATCTTTCTCCAGAAGCGCGTGCGAGCCCCGGCCGACGGCGGGATGAATAATTAGGCAGGGCTTGCACGAGATCACTCACCGAGAAAATTACCTGCCCATTAAACCGGACGCGGCGAGGAGCGCGGGGCCGGAGTCCACCTATCCCCTCCCGAGGCGGGGAGGAGGAGCGGTCCGGAGGTGCCCGAGCGGGAAAGCGGCTGGCCGGTGCCTCGGCCCCAGCGGCCGGCGGGGCTCCGAATTTGCTCACATCCGTCCCCCCCGGGACTCCCTACTCTGCAGACCCGCCCGAGTCCCCGGGGGGCCGCTGCCCCCCGCGAGGGCGGAGTCTGCAGGGGGTGAGCTCAGCGCCACCCCGCAGCTCCCAACCCTCCCCAGGGCCGACCCCAGCCGCTCGCGCTGCTCGCCCCCCCTCCCCTCCTCTCTGCCCTGCTCCGAG